GCTATGTGTCCCACTTCCCTGCTGGAGCAATGTTAGCAAAGTAGCTCCACTTGTAATCCTATAGTTGATTCCAATTTGATCCACACTGTACCCACACTGTGACTCAGCCGTATGGATTACTGTGGCAAAGAGCTTCGGTGCAGTCCACTTTTAGGACCTCTCCTCTTACTCAGGAGCTATTCCTATTCAGCAATAAGCCCATTCTACTGTTAACCTCTGTTGTAGTCAGGGTGTGAGGAAAACAATTAGAATCACGACACAGAATTTATATTATTATTTTATGATGGTCACCCAGAGTTAAACATAGGAAAGTGCAGGAAATTTATCCACAACACTAAAGACTTAGAATGTTCAGCCAAGGGCCTGGATCCCACAGCAATATCCTACATGAGCCCAGATGAAGACTTAGAGCCCATGGCAGTGCCTCCCACAAGTCCAGCTGGAGGTCTGGAGCCCACAAGAAGGACTCATGCCAATCTGTTTTAGAGATCCACACTGGGAAGGCCCAGAGATCAGTGGTAGAAGCTGAAAAATGTATGCCAGTGGGGTGAAGGAGCTGTGCTGATAGGTTTAGGGTTCTACACTAGAGCCGAGAAGTCATACTCATAGACCAGGGCTCCTCTGCAAAGTACCACAGCCATCTTTAGTGACATGGAAGTCCCAAGCTCCTCCAATGATAAGAACAGTAAAGTACATGTCAGAAAGGGAGCATGACAAGTTTCTCCTGGAGACTAAACAGCACACATATTCCCCACCAGGGACAGGAAATGATGCTCAACAAAAGGACCAGAGCGCCCCCAAAGTGACCCAGAGCTACTCTCACCAACAAGGTCCTGAGGTCCTGTGTTAATAATGGTCGAACTCACACTGGGGAAGCTAGTCATGAGGAGCTCCTCCAAGAAAACAAATGGCTCAAAACAGCAGCAGGTAGAAAAACCCACAACACGTAGCTCTTCTTTTCCACGTCTCTATTCATGATGGCAACTTTCCTTAGGTGGAACATCTGCACTCAGCACCATGCTGATTTAATTCAGCTGGCATTAAGTTGACCACCAGTTTTTAATCCATAACAATCTCCTTTGTCCTTTGGAATTCATTCACTGATTTCAGAGGACAGGAATTTAGCATATATGACATCTTGAAGCTTGGAAGTTATATTTACTCCTCTATCACAACCACCCTTTTTATATAAGGAAAATATACTGGTACCTTGAACTCCCTCTGTTTTAGATCTCTGTGATAGGAGCTGAAAGGTAATCTCTTATAAGACTCCTCAGAATTCATCTTCTACTTTGTTGTCTAGCTTCTTCAAAGAGGTTTCCACACTACAACTGATCCTCAAGATGCAATTGTTGGATTCCCTTTTTTGATACCAATGCAATAGGAAAAAAGCTTTCATCTATGATGAATGAATTTGATGAGTCATTATGATGCTATATCACATTTCTCCTGTTTGCCAAGGCCAAAATTGAAGAATTACATTTGGAAATAAAGTTGAGCTCTCTACACCGTTGGGAAACTTTAGTGTGACATAGACTGTTCTATATAAATTTGGACTACTTAAAATATTTCTTAAAAACAGAAATTGCCAGATGCTTTCAGAAATATTTGGAGCAAAGCTAGCGCCTAACTTCCTCCCAGTATATCATCCTATTAATAACTGACCACCTTGTAAACCCCAGTGAACTTTCCATGCCATATCACATTTCTCAGAGCCTCAATTCTGTGCTACCTTCCTACTTGCTCTGTGGTCCACTGGAGTAATCACTGTTTTTATAATGTTGATTAACTTTACCCCATTCCCTCCTATTTACTCACCTGACAAGCACATTTGTTAATTCAGATCTCCTTTTTGTCCACCTGCCACTTCTCAGTCAACAGAAGGAAGCACACCTCCCCCCACCTCGAGGGCACCTCGGATCATGTCCAGGTAACCATGGACATGCTGCTGTTTTCCTCGCCCTCTTGCTCTGTGATTAGATAATTGTTCTCTACTTTGTCTTCTCCTCAAAACACTTGGTTGTCACTAACTCTTCACTTTCAGTGATTCCTCTTTTATTGAAAAATAATCCAAGCTACCAAGAGAATGTCCTCATTGTCTCACACGCAGTACGTTTTCCAGTCTTTTCTTCTCTGCTTCAGCTAATAGGCTGCTTACTCATTTCCTGATGATGAGTTCCTCCATTTGTATGTTAACTCACAGAATTTTAAAAAGTATTTTATTATTGAAATTCCTACTGTATTACTTGCTTTTATAATTACTGGATTATTTCTAACAGCACAAATGATTACATTTGCAGTTGTTCTAGACTCCATGCATTGCAGCTACTGCAGTTACCTGTTTATTTTGATCTGATACTCTTCTCAACAGGGGACAGTGCCAGAGTTATTTATTTCTTTACTCCATTCTCGCTTGAGTTTCGTTTATTCATAGTTTTATTTTCAATACTTAATATAAAGTCATCTTGTAGTCTACTATATACATTCATGTACTAAAAGTCTACTGCCTAAGTTATGCCCTATCTTGTTTGTTCTCTCAGCAGAGGTGATGCTGCTGTTCTTGTCCCCAAACCCCAACCATATGTGAAAATCTTGATATCAAGGAATTCAAAGAAATTTTAGTGTCTGGGAACTTAATGAAAAGTCTAGCTTTACTAGTTACAAGAGACCTTTGCAGAGATCTTTGGTCCTAGCAAAGAAGAAGAGTGAGAATTAGGCATAGTGAAAAGTTGTAGAGGGGACATCTGTCTAAGATCTCATTATTCTATATTCCATCTTCAGAAAAACCAGTGGGCATGCACAGATGTCCACAGATCGAAAGCAGCACATCACAGGACGGGAAAAAATGATGTGCTGCATTTCCCCAGTGCTTCCTGTGTACACCTTGCAAAGAGGAAGCCTGTCCTTGGACTCAGTCTCCTTCCTAGGTTTCCCTACTGGAGCACAATAAATTAGTAAGCAATGTTAGAAAACTACATCAGAAATGAGAAAGGAGTAGACACAGATGATTCCTACTCTTTCCCACTCCTCACAACTCCTTCAGAAGCTTGTCAAAAAGAACATTGCAAACCACACTTCCGATGACAATGGAGAAAATCCAGAATTCTGCATTTTTGTTAATTTTCAAATGATTCTAATGCAGGTGAAATACGAGCAACACATTTAAAAATTAATAAGTACTGAGACAAAAAGAACTAGGGAAGAGAGCAAGGTTAAAACAAAGAAGAATTACTTGCAATTGATTAAATTAGAGAATCTCTGTAACTGTCAATAGAAAACACAAACACAAGATGTTAGACTTGTCAAGGCCTAAAGTTAGTAAATGGTCACCAACCAAAACGAAGTGAGGGCCAGACTTGCCATCATGATTTCATGGACAATTTCCCTGAATCTAGTTAGGAAGCATTCTAGTACAGACTTAGCAGGTGTAGTGGCCTTAAAAGCTCAGCTACAAACATTCAAGGCCACTGAGAATAGCTTGTACTGATTTCTTCACAGTTTGGCTGCTTTCTTCATTGGCTTCCTTAGAAGTTGAAGTCAAAGACAACCCAAATCTAACTCCCTGCTGGGTTTGCCCTGGAAACCAGAGCCAGATCTGTTTTTGTTAAGTGTTAGCATGGATAAACATGACTCCATAATATTTTGAAGTTTTTAATAGCATTTTCTTAATCAGCGCATATGGCACAGAGTTTCCCCCACAGACTATTCCTGCATTTGCTAATTTTGGATCCAAGTTTTAGTCCTCTGGCCTTGTGTTCATCTGCATGCTTTCCTCTGGCAACTTCAACCAGCTCATAGCATGATTTTAAGTGCAATCTATGCACATTAAAGATGTCTAAATATGCAGCTTTAAGTTTTCACTCAGTTGGATGCTTGATTTCCCACCAACAATTGCATAAATATTAACTGATAAAATGAAACCTATTTGGTCTGAAAATTGTTCTTTTTTCACCCCAGTGGACTACACAAACACATATTAACTATTTCTTCAAATTCCTTAGACTCAATTTTTAGAATTTTTTTTTCTGTTGTACTTACATGGTATTTTTCATTGAGTGTCAGCTATAATTTCAAAATACTTTGCAAATTGGACCACTTCTATATAACTCCATCTTTACCACTAAATTTTAAGTAATCAATATCTCTCATCAGAAAATTAAATAATTCTTAAATGAATCATTCATTTTAAAACCAGTCAGGAGGCATTCTCTGGTACACAGATCCCTTTAAATGCTTTGCATTACAGCTATGGTTGAGATCCAGTTATGCACACATAAACCCACAGGGCTCCATGTGATCTCATCCTACTTTTCCAAATTCATGATCTGCTACTTCCTTCTTCATGAAAATCACACTAGCCATCTTGGTCTTCTTAAAGGAAACCATGCAAATTTCTGTCTCTTTCTTATAGATTACCATATATAAACATGTATGGCATGATAATTGTGGAAATGAATTGGTGTTCATTAATAAAACACACTGTCTATTACTAAATCAGCATGCAAACCAGTATCAATTCAAGTTAAAAGCTAAAATACAAATTAAATCACAATACAGCAAAGTTCTTGAGGTGGGAGTGACAGTATATATGGTGAACATCATGGTTATTAAATATATGATTAACAGTATAAACTTTGCTGTGCATAATTAGACACTTCCTATAACATTAATAAGACCAAATAAACATGAGATTTGATTAAATTTTAAGTTGCCTTTTCAGTTTCTAAAATCTGTGTTGCAGAATTGCCGATATACTAAAAACAGTAATTTAAATTTTCTATAGTTTTTCAGCTTAAATGCATTATTCTAATTTTTTACAATGAAAAATATGTTACTATTTATAGCATTTATTCACTTGGACATTTTTTTAATTTAAAAAGCTTTTACATAAGATCCCAAAACAAAAAGTTAAAAGTCTTACCAAAATTTAAATATGAAATGTCTCAAAGAAAAATAAAAGAAGGAAAGAAAGGATTGTAGCAATACCACATTGCTTACCATTCACTTGGAAAATGTGAGTCTGGTAGACATACCCATAGCAATCTGCATAGCAGCTGTATTTGCCCATGTGAGTGGTGGTAACCTTTGTAATAATCAAGGACCCATCATCTCCAAAGTCCTATGGAGAATTAAAATAAAGTAAAATCAATGCGTTGGCATTTTCAAACTTTCACTGCATTTGTGAGCAAAATAAATAACTAAAATATTGCTTTAGATGTATCAAAATAATCAGTATAATTGTAAAAGACTTTACCATTTTTCTAAAATATCACTGGTTTAAGAGGGATCTCATTTATAAGAATAAATTTTCCATATTTATTCGAAATGAATTTACATAGTAATTTTCACATATTTGTTCTAGTTTAGTTTATATTCTTCAGATGAATTAATCCATGACATGTTTCTGTCTTATCTATATCTAAAACAGCTAGTGATTATATTTGTCACACTTGTAGTTATTCGCTAATTTTGTGTTAATTATACATTTACCATGAAAAACAGATCTTAAAGTAGTCTGATCTATATAATAAAGTTACATAGCTATATCACAGAATACGACTTTCTTTCTTTCTTACTTTCTTTCTTTCTTTCTTTCTTTCTTTCTTTCTTTCTTTCTTTCTTTCTCTCCTTTATCTATTTTGGTACTAAGAATTGAAACAAAGCCTTCAATTATGTTAAATACACACTGTATCCTCCCAGCCAGGATATATTTTTTGCAACTCAGAAACATTCAGTATGAAATAGCCATACTATTTTAAATTTTGGGGAACAAATGCAGTATAATTTTTGAAGGTGAAAATAATCTCACAGTGTTTATCAAAGCCATATCAAGAAGCACCTGTGGAACTGTAGAGTAAAAACCAGAAAAATCTCCTCCATAAAAGCAATGAATACAATGGGAAAAACTGTCAAAAATCTATTTTTTTCCTAAACTCTCGAAACAGATAAATGCTTTCACCAGTCTGCACTGTATATTTTAAATTAAGTGATAGAACTCAGTAAACATAGTAAGACTTGTGACTTAAACTTGGCAGCAGGATCAATTTGAGGGAGTCACCTGACAGAGAAGCCAGCTGCTACAACCTTTGACCCTCATCCTAAAGGATACAGCGGGCCTCACCTGGGCTCAGCGTGGTCCCTTGTTGGTCTGTGGCACAGTGATCAGACTCATTTTCAGGACTCTATCCAGCAAGATTTAGACTTCCTTCTCTGTAAGTAATTCAGTCACTCAAGCCCTGTTAAAAAGAACAGTAGCACCTGTTTCGTATTACAATCCCCAAGACAAGAGAAGATGTAACTAGTTGGGGATTAAAATGAGATGTTCAAAAAACAAAACACAACCCCTAACTAAAATTAAAACAAAAGAACCAAAAAACAAAAATCAAATAAACAAAAAGTAAAACCCTGCAAAGGAAAACAGGGCAACTGGAAGTCTACAGACTGATCTGAACTGTCCACACAGGACTGACACCCAGAAGCCACACCTGAGTATGGATAGAGTGTCCCCTGTGACAGTCTGGTGCATACTCATGGAGTATGCATTCATGGAGACCTCATCCACGAATAACCTTAGGCTCTACAGAGGCAGGAAGTAAAGGGCAAGGCAGAGCCGTCAGCTGCCTGAGGAACCTTGATTTGGGTCTCAATATAGGATAAAAATGCTTCCAGCAGAGGAGAATATACTGACTCAAGTCGTCTACTTAAATATCTCTGCAGTCCTGATCTCACTTTTAAAAAAATTGAGCAGTGGTTTCAGGGTTCAGTGGGTATACATAACAGACACACACATAGAAGTAAATGAGACTTAATATGGAAACTTCTTTTCTTAACAAAGGACTCCATCACGAAAGTAAAATGGCACCTGACAGAATGGGAGGAAATACTTTAAAAATCATGTTTGTACAAGGGTGTTATATCCAGTTTATATGAAGAATTATTACAATTTAATCATGAAAAGAGAATAGTTCAATTAAAACAATGGATTAAGAATTCAGATTTTTTTCAAAAGGTTCATAAACAGGCAATAAGCATACAAAAGCTGTGCAGCATTATTAGCAATAAGGAAATGCAAATAAAGACTGCAGTGAAATTCAACTCCACACTCATCAGGAAGGCAAAGATAAAAAAGAAGCAAAGTAACACTGCCTTAGAGAAGAGAAGGAAATGTTGGCACCTTCAGCTCTGCTAGAAAAATATCAAATTGTGTAGCAGCCTCAGGAAACAGTATGGCAGTTTCTCCAAAATCAAACACCTATTGATGTCTAGCAATTTTACTGCTTCATATAAACCAAAAAATAAATAAATAAAAATGACTTGCACACAGACTGTGTATACATGCTGATATCTACACTTACCAGTTAAGAAGTGAAAAAAAAATCTAAGTGTGCACCAGCCGATAATAAACACAATGTGCTATATCTGTGCAATAGAATATTATTGGGCAATTAAAAACAAAGCTAGTACTGGCTAATACTCTGACAGATAAATCTTGGAAATGTTGTGATAAGTGAAAAAAGTCAGACACAAATATCACACATTCTGTGTTCAATTACATGAAATGTGCATAGCCCAAAATATATCACGCATTACCAAACACTTAGGGGTGAGGCTCAGACAGGGACTGCTCGTAGAAGTAGCAGGCCATTTAAGACAATGGAACTAGTCCAGACTTTGATAGCTTTGATGCCAGGATGCTGTAAACCACAGTTTAAAGCAGCGCACCTTAAAACGAACACTTTAAAAAAAAAATGTTTCTTTTATGGTGTGTGGATTATATCACAAGGAAATCTATATGAAATCTTCATATAAAAAAATCAAATATACCGTAACATATTTGGCCAGTGGATTCTTTATTCAGTATGAAATGAAGAAGGATTGACAAAGAATGATCCACACATTTATGCTGAAAGGAAATTCTTTCCCATTTCAACCCACAGCAAGCATTCAAAGATATTACTAAACCCAGATGATCTATGCAAAGTACGTTTTCAGAGACCAGGGCACTGGACCTAGCCATGCTCTGGGGCTCACCAGGATGCCGAGCTCTCTGGAGAACCAGATGCTGGGCCAGGCAGAGCCCATCCTGTCACTGCCAGGCCCCATGCACAGGTGGAGTGTGACCCACCAATGAGTCTGGCGACTTTCAGCAAACTTCCTTCTTCCAAAGTAGCCTGACACACTATCTTTTATAACTAAGAAATCCTCTGAGAATCACTTATTCATTGACTCTTCCCACTTCTAAGTTATGCATTTAGTGTTTCTGGTGAATATTCGAATTCTTAGGGTTATGTAGAATATTTATGAATTTAAATTGGATATTTATCTTTAATTCTTTTGGTAAAATGTAGCTAATTTTGTCAGTGTCATTTACTCAAGGAAAATTTTCCTTGCCTATTATGTTTTCTTAAATCTTTAAATCTTTATAATCTAAAAGTAACCAGTGATTTATGAATATTCATGTAACAGTGCTCTACGAGTACACCCTCTGAGTCTGTGACTTTACCTGTCTCTCACATATGTGTTAACAATAGCTCTTCCCTAAGGGCACTATAGATTCAAATCAAGAAAATTATTACGAGGCTAGCGTACCTGGCCTTAAAAAATGATAAAAAATGTTGCAATAGAGAAAAAATAGAAAGGGAGGGAGAAAGGGATAGGTGGGTATGAGAGAGAGAGAAAGAGAGAGAGAGAGAGAGAGAAGTTGACAGGAGACTAAAAATAACAATAGGGGAGAAGCAGGCAGAAGGAGGAAGAGAGGGGCCAGAGAGGGCGGAGCGGAAAGAAGAAACACGTCCTGTTCTCTGACCATCACGCTGCTTAACTGAAGAGTGCTTAACAGTGACCAGATAAAATATTGATTCTTTACTTTCTTACTATGTAATACAGATCATACTTCACCCCTACGACTCCAGGGATTTTCAGAGTGTCCCACACAAAGCCTCTTGACCTGCAGAATAGAGGGAATATGAAGCTGAAACACTAACAAGGAGGAACTGAGACACTGAGGCTGCAGTCTGCCTCCCTGCCTCAGCCCAGGACCCCCTGGAAAGACAGCAGGTACGGGGCATGGTGTCCAGGTCAGGAGACAGAGGCTGTAGGATCAGTGTGTGTATCTTTTTAATGAACTTGAAATGAAACCCTGTAACTATGTATTGACCATTAATATATGTTTAGCTCTATGCTGTATGTTCCAGAAAAAAATCAGACTTCATCTTTCAAACACTCCATTAAAAGGAAGCACTGTTAGGCCTGTTATGTACTGATACAATTTTAGATATGTCTGTTGAGATCGGCATACACAGTGAGAGATCTCACATTTGCACACGAAGAGCAGAGTTCGGCCACTCTTGGTATGTAATTCTTGACATATTCTTTTCTTTGTCCAGAGTCTTCATTAATTTAAGCCAGGGTTCCAGCTTATGTTGCTTCTTCACAGAGATGAATCAAATTACTTTATACTTTCCTTCTGATTTAGCATTTGCAGTCTCAAAGGCTTTCTTTTCTGAACAGTTTTCCTAATTTGCATAGATCCAATCTCTAGTGGTTTCAGCGCCACAGCCAAGGTGAGACGTAGGATCTCAGAACAGGCTCTGTATTTAGGGCAAACCGTGCACTCATGCTGAATCCCCATCACATAGCAATCTTTCAGCTGAAGAGACCCATAAATATTTCTCCAGTGATTAAATCTTTTTGAGCCTTTGAACTATTACAGAGTTGCCTCAGGACACTGGTATCTAGAAAGAGTTGATGAAAAAACCCCAAATCATTTACTCTGCTAAGCTGATTGCTTGTATTCTCTCAAGGGAACGCAAATGGGAGTTTGGGTAAAAGACCATCTGCAGCATATTTCTAAAATTTCAAAAATGTGTATGGTAATCACCCATGGACTATACTCAATCATGTAGGATAAGTAAAACACTTCACACCTCGTGGAAGGTGAGCACTGTGCTAGCTGGCTACCTGCAAACCGGAGTAAGACATGCAGGGTTGAACTGGATCAGGCGGCTTCTGGGCATGGTTGAGGGAATTCACAGAAGGTCTGCTGGGATTACCTGGGTGGGAGTGACAGACACTGAGCACATGCTGCCTGAGTAGTGCAAAAGGAAACGAAGAAGGAAGGCTCAGCTCCTTTCCTTCAGAGGAGCTGTGGTTTCACCTTCACCCTGGACGTGGTCTTCTCTGCCTCCACACGGGAACTCACACAGGCTCCATGCTGCGCTCCAGGCCTTCGCTGGGAGCTCCAGCTCTGCAGCATCCAGACCACCTTTTCCCCTCTTCCACCCTGACCCTGGCAGCTACTGTGAGCCATCCTTATACACTCTTATGTCTGTTTGTAGCGTGCATTAAATCTGTTTCTCTAATACCACTGAGTGACACAATCTCTGATCAGTCAGAAAATTGAAAGCAATGAAGTTTCAGGTTCAATCACTCCAGAATTGACAGCTGAATTTCAGACCATATTTAATCACATACATTGTTTAGATCATTCTAATAAAAAAGAAAAAAAAACTTAATCTATTACAACAAAAAGAACTGTGAAAAAATAAATTGAATAATGAAGTTCAATTTAGCACATACATTATTTTTAAAATATAACTTTCTTAAAGCATTTCATAATTTAAAGATGCACAATAGGAAAGTCAGCTAACTAGAATGGAAATTATTTCCAGTTGATAGGCAAACCAAAATCAAGCAACAACATTTTTGGTAGGATAGCTGAAACACACACACACATACACACACACACACACACACACACGAATGAAAATTTTGTGGAAGAGCATTATTTGTTGGTTGATATAAAATAATAAATCATATTCTTCCTTTGATTAAGAAAATAATCCAGGACAAAGTTTCAGTGGTATCTTTGAATTAGCTGGCATGGTCTCTTCTTAAACTCACCTCTCACACTTCTGGGGAATAACTGCCTCTCAGAACAAAGAGGGGAGGAGACCTCCAATGAAAATCATCATGGACCATCAACACTACAGAGCTCTAGGAACTGAGAGGTCCTTGGGGTGAGCCAATGGGATTCTACAAATGCAAAGAGTCTCAGAAACAAGCTCTGTCTGTCCTGCTTGGGAGAGGACAGGTGTCTCCTGGCTCCAATGGGCAGTGGCTGTCGAGAGGCCACAGTCACATGTTGGTACAGGAGGGCAGGACACTGGAGGGGTGGCGCTGAGGGCTACCCTTTTGGGAAGATGAGCACAGTGAACACCCAGGACCAGAGGCAGCATCACTGTCGGCTGTGTGGTCAGGGTCTCTACCTTCTGGTGAACACTTTTAAAATATAGCACAGGGCTGGGGATTTAGCTCAGCGGCATAAGCACCTGCCTTATAAGCAGGCGGTCGTGAGTTCGATCCCTGGTACCGATAAAAAAATGAAAAAGACAAAAAAATAAAATAAAATAAAATAAAATATAGCACAGTAATGGCCAACAAATGCAATGCCTATTAGAAGGGGAGAAAAGGAGGATGCAATGGGGAGGAGATGTGAGGAGCTTCAGAGTCCTGGGCAGTGTGAGATATTTACGGGATGCTGGACCTGTAGGTATCAACTCTTTGCTGCACTTTAAAGTACATGTGCTATATATATCCAACACTGAATAGATTGGGATCAATTACAAATTCAACTGAACTTAAATCACATATCTCAAAATGCAAAAGCTTCTCCTATATATACAAGGCATAGTTCAAGTCTCTTTCTTGTTGTCTAAATAGATTTGAGTAACATTTACAAATTTAATGGATAAAATACCCACTGATAATTCAAGCGATAGTTTGGCTAGTTTCGAAGGAGAATGAAGTTTTATTTTATTTTATTTTCATAAAAATATTAACATAGTGGTCTAAAGAACCTACAGCGTAGTAAATCTTGCATAGTTGGTGACAATAACTCATCTTATTTCAGAGGTAGATGGAAAGAATGCCACTTCCACCCACTTGATGAGCTCTGGCTGCATGCTCTGCAGAGTCTTGCTGTGTGAAGATACCAGAAGGCTGCTTTCTGGGAAGAACCACAGACCTGACATGTGAGGGAAGCTTGAGCTTCCACGCAGGGGTAAGACATGGGGGACCCTTCACCCACTGCCCTGAGCCCTGGACAAGAACGAGGCTGGCACACACACACTTGTGAGCACAGAGACAGGCGCTGCTGGGGCTCCCACCAAGCAAGAGAAGCCTGGCTGCCTCCCTGCTCGTACTCCATGTGTTTGAGAACCACGATCAGAGCCCAACAGCCAGTGGAGGAAGAAAGGCTGAGCTTAGAAGAGATGCAGACTCAGGCAGGCCTGGAAACAAAGGTGTCCTGTGCACAGTGTCAGAATCCACTCCCACCAGGGGGCAAGGTGATGAGAGGAAGAAGAGGGTCAGTGTGAGCACAGGAATCAACACCACCAGAGGGCAGGACTCCCCGGTGAAGAAAAAAGCAGGCTCCCAGTGCCATGGACAGATACTTTTACCCCGTCTCCACTGCCTTTGTGTAGATCTGTACCAATGTGATGAGACATAGAAAATGGAAAAGAAGCTGTTTGCTGCTGAGACATAAATATATAAATACAGCCCCACATTTGGAAAAATGGGCATGGGACTGGAAATGGCCACTATTAACACATCAAAGGCTAGGAGAACATGGAGACATTTATGAGCAAAGAAATGGGGACAACGAGAAGTGTGGAAGGATATGTTAGAAGCACATACACGCACACAGACTCACATGCACACACGCAGCGGAGGAGTGACCTTGAGTGTCTGTCAGGAGACCTGACACTGCCGGAGAGGAACTCAGCAAGCTTGGGATGCACATCAGTGGACACCACTCAAACTGACATGTGCTGATTCTAAGAATTCATTTTGGTGATATACAAAACTATGTGAATACACTAAAAACTATCAATTTATACACTTTAAGGGGATAAATTGTATGACATGTAAACTAAATCTCAATAAAGTTGTCATATTTTTAAAAAGTAGAGGTGCCTCCATTTACCTAAAGTGGTCTCAGGTTATCCTTCCTTATGGCAGAGTAATATTCCACCATGTATAAAAACTACATGCTCTGTTTCTCTATGTGAGAAACCAAAAGGATAAATAAGGATGAAGATGTAAAATAAATGCTAACAATTGTTTATAGAGGAGACATAAAGGAAGGAAGGGAGAAGAAAAAAAAGAAAATGAAAATAAAAAATGGAAACCAAGCCTTTTTACATAAGGAGGGGAAGGAGGTTTGCAGGAAGGGAAAGGAGATGGGGAGAAAGAAGACTGCAGATATATCAAGTACAGGTACAAATTCTCTATGTAAATGTAATCACTATATGTAACACAAGTATACCAATAAAGTTAACAATGAAGTTAATGAAAATAAAAGCACTAGAAATATGTCCAAACAAAAATAAAAATGTTAAACACTGGTAGAGAAAAGACACACAATATACAGAGAAAGAACCAAAGGAAAAATAGCATAAGTTATTTTTTTTTCAGAAGTCGTGAGACCAAACACAGTGGCACCCTCCAGCTGCTAAAGTGTGTGCAGGGGCGATGCTAGAGAACAGCCCAGAGCACTACACACAGCAAAGGCGCCTTCTGATGTGGCGCCATTAAAGCTTTGCTGCAACCTAACAGAAATGCACTAGCACAGCCGCAGGGCACTCTGAGCACATTCTGCAGGAAGGAGTGACACACCAGAAGGATGCACAGATAAATAACTGCGAGGTGGCCACAAAATTTAAGGCAATGTGCCATGTAGCTGTATCTAGTAGATGGTTTTACCTCGAGGTGAAGTGGTCTCTCACTTTTGATGACTATTTGAAATTTAATTTATGTAATTTAAATATTGCATATACTATGTTTAATTTTTTGTTGTTTTCTAATGAAAGAGAGTGTTTATAGGAGTTAGTTAGAATTAGTGCAGAAGTGACCTACACTGATGATATCAGACAAACTCACAGAAAGGAGACTCTCCTTCTTATAGGAAATGGTCACTTGCTTCATCCAGATGGGGAGAACAGTTTTCTTCATACCAGCAATGAAAGCTTGTTAATCTTCCTTGCAAAACACAGAATAATTAAAATTAAAATTTTAAATTTAAAGTCTTTAAATGTTGAGCATGGCAAATGTTCTGATTTATTTTTAAAAAAAGGAAATAATGGTGGAGGTTTAGTTCAGTGTCAGAGAATGGGCTCAGCATCCATACACAGTTTGCTTTGAGGAGTCCTAACACGAGTTCTTGCTCTGGGGAGTAACGAGGTTGATGCTGGCCAGTGGGGCAGCAGTGATGAGAAGCCGCAGAACAGAACCACCCAGTGTTTGCATCACCTTAAAACTTCAGGGAACGAGCATGTGTTCAGTAAGACACATGTCCCAGTCAGGAGCCGTGCGTCACGAGTCAGGAGGCATGCCAGGCGTGAGAGGCCGCGGATCTTCACCTGGGTGCAGCTACAGCACAGGGCTGCTGTGGCCTCCGTGGTCCCTCAAACGTCGGATGAGAGTGGGCGTCCTGTGCTAGCTGCTGCACAGACAGCTCTGTGACTTATTATTGTGGTTCTGTGATGAGAATGGAGAAGAGTTTTAAACTTTCTCTGTGACAATTCATTTTGCACAAAATGCTTGCAGCCCACCTCTTTCTTTTAGCAGCCACTGCGAATCTTAGGCAAAGACTCCATGACTCGTTTCACATGTGCCGTGGATAGGCATTATTTCCTTTTTAACTGATCACAAAGAAAAAGGTATAATTGGTTGCAGGTCCAGAACAGTGCCAGCCTGTTCTTGTTCTGTTCCTAATCTGGAGTTTTTGCCAACTCACTAATTTACTGCACGGTTGTATCCAGCGCAACCCATCCCCAGCATCACGGGAGGCCACCACTGGCCATCTTCACACGTTTACTTCTCTGTCCCTTCCCTCCCCTTCAGTTTTGTCAGAAGACATTGTACCTCTGCATAGGCAAGGTATTAACCCATTAAACTGTGCTTCTTAAAGAAGTCTTGTGGCTTTGGTGACCTGTAGAAGAGCACCCACATAATTATTTATATCTTCAAGATTTAAAAATAAAGACTCAGATTTGCTTTGTCACTGAGTAGTTTCAAGAAATCAGAGGTTACATCTTTCCCGTATGCTCAATTTCCAAATATACGTAATGGAAATTTAAAAATTATTCACATTTTTTCACAAGAACAAAATAAGTGATGTCTTGGGAAGCAATTTATAAATCATAACAAAATGTGAAGCATACATCTATTGAAGATAAGGAATTAATATCTGTGTTTCACTATACAGTGACAGCTCAATTCATTCAAAATTAGTGTTTGAACACC